TTGACAAATGCACTTGATTCCTGACCTTGAAAGTAATCCTATGAGTATAGATGTGGCAGCCTCCATACTGTTACTCCCATTGATGATTTCAGGATGGCAGGTTCCACTGACTATCTTGCTACTATTTTATTAGGCCAGCACCTTAATTAAGGATGAATCTAGCCCTGAGAGCCATATATATTCAAGATCAAAACTGTGAAAAGAATTTTCCTTGGTTTATACTTCTAGGCTCCATTCTCATTTCACACTCCACCTCCACAATGGACCTGGCATGGTAAATTCTTTGGAATCTAGACAGAATCTATTAGAATTCCCTCACTAACAAAATCATTGCTGGGAAGACAGCCTAAAAATAGAACTTTCATTATACAGTCAGCAAAAATATTCAGTGGTGTTCTGCTAAGTATTTCAAACAGTGTCCATGTCCATCTGTGATATGCTCTGGGCCTTTGCATCTGGAGCTGAGCTATAATGGGGTGTGTCTTGCCTTTTGAACTTGGCAAGTCTAGAACATAAACCTGACACAGAGAGTGTCCAACACAACCTGGGCTCTTTTTAAATGCCTTGAAGATCTGAGAATTAAGATGGACTCTCTCAATAAAATTACCTTTGTTGCTATAAAGGTATTAGTTTCTGCAAAAGACAATATCGAGGTACTGAAAAATCACCTGTACAATCTTAGGTAACAATGAATTAAATTTGAAGTTGCTCCTGGAGACAAGCTGATATTAGTGGAAATGGATACTCCATTTAACCTTCAAAAAAATAATGCCTAAGATTTATCGGCTGGGAGATTCTCACCAAATACTTGTGTTTAGTTCCTATGGTTGGAACAATCAGCTGTGTTAGCCCCATCAATTACAGCTCTTAAAATAGCACACAATTTTTAAGCCTTTTAGTTTTACCTAGCAAGCAAATTCCATTACATATGGTACCTCAGGATCCAGTCACATAGGCCCCCTGTCGGGAAGGGACATTGGTTATGTACAGGTTAAATCCTCTTCCTCTTGGACACGGTGATATGTATGGTAATTTCCACTTCTTAATACAGAATGCCTGGGAGACAGTTATACTCATTCAACAGATATTTATAGAGAATCCACTGAGTACCAGCCATAAATTAGATATTATGATCCATGTTCTTGACATCCCCTATTTTCATATAAATGCTTTGAACAAAACATTATATATAGAGTCTCTTTAGCAAATACAAGTTATATCAATCAATTTGACCTTAAGATTTCCTTCTCATAATAGGGATCTTAGATATTACTGTTTTTCTAAACTATACTTTTGCCTCATTAGCTGTAAAGTTCTAGTGCTAAAACCTTTTGCCTGGGACTAAAGTGGCACAAACAAGGACAGTGGGAACAGACAACAGCCCAAGTCTTACAGGACAAAAGAGGAAAAGAAACAAGGAAGTGTGTGATAATAATTCTAGAGTGGCATTCACACTTCTTGACACAACACTCCTCTTTGAAAAGCAAAAGATTCATGATTTACAAAGAGGACATTTCAGTTGCTAGATCATCACCTATTCAATAGGAACATAAATGGTAAATGGTAGATTATATTTCATTCGGAAACCTTAACTGGCAGAAATTCTACCTTTTCAGCGGACACGCCAAAATAAGAGAAGCCACTGCAGGCTCCATAAATACACATTTTAACAAAAAGGGCGGGGGTGGGGGAGGAGAACAGTTTCTCAGGAGTACTGTGTCCTGATTTCAAGGAGAAATTTTATTCCTTTACAATCCAACCTGCAGTTAGCTAGCCAAAGGGACAGAAGGCATTAACTTAGATATTAATAGTCAATTGATAACACCTTGTAAACATACACCTTCATTTTCCCCCCAAAGGAAAGGATAAATAGTATGATGGAAGACACAGAACACAGTAGAATCCCTGGTATACTATTAGATAAGTGCAGTGCGGCAGAGAGTAATACGATTAATGTATCAGACACATCCAAACATAGTACTGTCTCCTTCAGAGTAGCTACCTTGGGAGGACCAATCTATTATTATCAACATTTCTTATAATTTCTATGTGAGAAAGACCTTCAGAGCCTGTGAAAATTACGTTTGAATGTTAAATTTACCTATATTCAATAATGTCCCATGCACTCTACCAGGTACTTAGAAAGAGTACTCGAATAGTCCTGGCCTATAAGAGACTTAGTCTAGAGAAGGAGCGAATGTGTGCATAGACAATTTCATTACACTATCAGCCCTTCCCTGACTTCATTTCTATTCTCGCATTCTTTGTACATACTTGTCCTCCTCCACTAGGCAGTTGAACATTCTGAGAGCAGAAACCATGCCAATTATCTCTGCATCGCTGCCACATGCCCCGGCAGAGTCATCAGCACAGAGTGAGCATTTAACAGATGTGGGTTAGGGAGGAAAAATGTCTTGTTACTTAATCATCACACTGTACTCAGCAAAATTCACCATAAGACAGGTGTGTCTCCAAATGCATCCAAGGGTATTTAGGCACTGCAGTGCCTAGTCTCTCCTAAGCTGGTCCGAAGGTCAGCATTACTCGGAGGCTTGGGTTCTGAGGCATAAGAACCACAGCATAAGCCCAACTCACTCTCTATTGTTCTCTAAATGTCGTAGTCAGTAATAGCAAGGCAGGTAAAACATTTACATTTCTATCGATTACATGGGAGAGAAATCTCTCCTTCAAGAATCGATCCAGTCTACCAGCTCACCAAACTCCTGTCTCACCCCATCAGGTCATTTTAAAGCCATTAATGGAAATCCAGATGGTCATCGGCATGTTCATTCCTACCGACAGGAGAGTACCTAGAAAGATGCTACTTGTCCTTACCCCAGGCAATCCTGGACAGAGCATTTAGCTTACTGAATTGAGAGAGCAGGCATCGTTATTCCTAGTAATGACAGAACAAACATACCAAGCACAAAAACCTGGTTTGGACATGGTTGGCTGATTAGACCAGGGAGTGGGCAGAAAACAAAGCTTCTGAAGGTTTAACAGTCGCGCATGGGAGATAACCTGTGTATCATTTTGCTGTGATGCTTTGGAAATAATAATTAAGAAAACAGAAGTACATTAAAAGTTGTAAAAGATGGTATAGGCAACTAACTGGTGACTGGTAAGAACACTCTTCAGAGCAGGCAATAACATTTAAGTGGAAAAGGAACAAGGAAAGTGTCTCTTTAAAGAAGGGAAAGAAATTGTCTCTAAATCCAGGTTACTGTGGTCCCTTGCAGGAAAGAGACTACCTGGTCCGTGACGCCCTTAAGCACCTTCACCTCAGGACTCTACTGTATCTGACACCAGGAAACAATTAAGGATGGACATAGCAGAGTATGCAAATTCAGAGGGCCACAGCTCTACAGACTAGAGCTATGTTGTCTAATAGGCACATGTGACTATTTAAGTTGAAATCAACTAAACTTAATTAAAATTTAAAAATCACTTTCTTTCAGTTGTAGTAGCTTTATTTCAAGTGTTCCTAGCCACATGTGCTAGTGGTTTTCATTATGAACAGTACCTACACAGAATATTTCCATCACTGTTCTACTGATGGACAGAGCTGGACTTGAAAGTGAACACTGCTATTGCCAGAAGGCCAAATGATTTGCTACTCACACTGTAAAGTACTGTGTTTTCATCCAGAGCACACTCTGGCTCAACTGTCTAATTCCTGTGCAAATAAAAGAATCGGTTAAATCACCTTCCATTCATAATAGTATCATTAGATTCCTAGGGTCATTTGGTCCTTGGATAGAAGCTATGCCTGACAGTAAAGCAAAAATCAACTACGGTACTAAGATTTCTACTGATTAAAACTTTCCTTATATACATTTTTTAAAATGAAGAAAAAATATACTCTTGGATTTAAAGTAGAGAGTTTCAATTATATTTAATAAAAGCAAACTAAGATTCTGTCAAGAGCCAGGAAAAAGAAAGCCAGTAGTCTTCAGACAATGCATTCTATTTAAACACTCATTCTATCATTGCTTAAATATTTACTTGCTGCCATGTACCACACAGAGGAAAATTTGATATCTCTGTGTGACAGAACAATTTGAATGCAAGCTAAAATTTAATCAGCACATAGAAACAACAAAGCATATGTATTCACTTAAGAGAACAGCTTATATATTTTCAGGGAAGGGGACTGCAAGGATACTGGAAAACTTAACATGCAAGACTTAGAGCCCTTCTTCAAAAATGCATGATGTTGCCACCTCTGACATTTACAGCCTTGGTGGTGCATAGCCTGGATGGGTCTGAGACGAAGCCAAAGATGAGGCAGTACCCAAGCCTTGAGAAGCAGGCAAGCTGCTGCTGCATTTCATCATTATGGAAACAAACACACAAAAAATAGCACAAGAAGCAGGCCTCTCCTTCCTGTTCAGGAGCAAAGTAACTATCAGAAGTGATCAAACCTCATGGTCCCCTCCCTGTCCCCTGGCTTTGCCCCCTACAGTAGCGCTCCTTGTTTGTTTTCCTTCTCTTCGAGCTCTTGGCATTTCAGACTAGAAAAGGAAATAACAGCGTGACCTTCTGCCCATGGAAAGGCTGCAGTCCTAGGTCACTTGATCTAACTCATCCCTTTCAAGGGAAAACTCACCTCATTTAACAAAAGTCACCTGATGTACCCAAGGAAGGTGGGGAGAGGTTCATTTCAAACTTGATAACTCCTATCTCCTCCCCCTGAGGAGGACAGAGTCCCTGGTAACTGTTTAAGTGATCATGTGCAAATTAAAGCTCTCCGCCAGGAAAGTAGCTCCTGTCAAAAGGCAGCTGATCTGAAACCTACCAAATCTGCTAAAATCTCTTCCCCATTTCAAGCGTGCATAGCCCTCAGAGGAAGGCTATGTACAATAACACCATCAAAGTGTGCTAGGAGGTCACAAGCACACACTCCACACAGCATGCACCACCAACACAGTTTGTAAAATGTGCTATCGGCAGCGTGGGAAATGGGCTGGCTCCCACCAAAGGGCAGAGCTAATGCATACCTTTCGGTCTTCTGGAATTTCCATTCTTTTGCTGTTCATCTTCCTCATTAATGGTGAATAAACCAAGGGGAATTGGCCTTGCATTGGTCTTCTTCAGCCTCTCTTGCCGGAAAGCTGTAGCTGATCCAGGCATACCGCTGCTACTTGTTTTTGAATTATTATTGTATTAAAAATATATGCTTATGTAATTGCAGCTCCCAGGAAGCTGCTAGTTTCTAAGCTGCCCGATCATTTGAGCACTTGTAATAGATCCCCTATGGGTAAACAGTGTGCAGACAGCTGACAGATACTACCAGCCAGTTGGCAACTGAGGCCCTGCAGTTCCCCCTCACCTAGCAGCGACCCCCCTCTAAGAGCCCCCTCCCACTGACTCCCCACAGGCACATGTGCTAGCTCTGGCTCTCTCTTACACACACACACACACACACACACACACACACACACACACACCTTCCAGAAAAGCCCTATGAAAGGCACGCAGGTTCAGATGCCTCCGTCCACTGCCGAACCTGTTCACTCAGATCCCCGGTTCTCCTTCCTGCGGCAGCACCCTGGCCCAATCTTCTTCCTGACACCGCGCGAGAAAATATCCAGCACACAGCACGGGGGGAAAACAGGATCCACTGCCATTAGCAGTTGCCCTGACAACCCTGACATGTCCTAATCAAGGAGGCCTGGGAGCGGCTCCATGTCCTCGGAGAGAAGAGAAGCCGCAGCCTCCAGGATGCGGGTCCTGGGAACTCACCAGCAGAGGGTTAGAGTGAGGCGAGGCAGCCAGTCTGCAGGGCAGCTCCCTCTTCCCTGAGCAGCGGCGGGCTGGGAGGAGGAATGCAGTTCTGCTTGCACAATCAGCAGCAGAGAGAAAGGGCTCAAGGCAGGAAGGCCTTTTCTTCTTCTGGGGGCCAGATTCTTCCCTGGCAACAATGTTTGCCCGTCCCTGGAGGAAGGAAGGCACGCTGGTACCCCCACAGCTCACTTCACACTGGGTAACATATCCCAACTTTCCGGACATTCTTACAACCCCAGTGTCTGTATAAACACAAGCCTGGCCACACCTGAGACCCTCTAGTGAAGACAGGAAGGAGGAGAAGCTACCTATTCTCAAATCACAATTTAGAATACCCTTTCTACAAGGCGAGTAGATACAAATGAGACTACAACCCTCCAAAGGGAGAAACAACTGCCTGGATTCTATCCAGCAAACTCTCACCCAACCACCCCCCACTCCCCCCGCCGCCCGCGCCCCCCCCTCCCCCCCCACACACACACACAGGCTTCGGGAAAGTCACTACCAGCAGAGCCATTCGCAACACTTGACCCAATTCCAGTCCCATTTTGGACTGTTTTCTCCAAAGCACACAATCATGTGATTATTGTTTTCTTCTGAAATAAAAGCTTTCTGATTTTAAAACTCTTCGGTTCTAGGCTGCTTAAAATTTATGCTGTGTATGAAAGAGGTTAAATTTACAATAAATGACAATAGAAGATGTCAATGGCCAAATTCAGAAAATACTTTTTTTTCTTTTCTTTTGCCTTTCACTAAAATTCAAGTCTGCTTAGAAAGTCCAAATCCTCTCGCCCTACACCACTCTTACACTTTTTCTCAATAGTTAAACCTCCAGATCCAGAAGGGGACCTCAGGGCGCTAGGGCAAGTGAAATATCCTCTCTAAATCCTTTGTGAACAACTCACTTTCCTGTTGTGTCCCTTGGTTTTCTCTGTGATGTCGGGGTGATGATATCATTTACCTTATCGGATTAAGAGCAAGGACTAAATTAGTGTAGTACTAGCAATAAGAAGTACTTAATAAATATCACCTGCTTTTATGATATTTTATAATAAATTTGTTGTAAACTAGTCCACTTTGGGTGCAATTATTTTCAAGGTGTTTCCAGTTCAGCTATCAACTCCTTCTAGGAATACCTCTATTTTTTATCTACTCATATTGCCAGCCTCAGTGCTACAAAAGTACTAGACCAGTGGTCGGCAAACTCATTAGTCAACAGAGCCAAATATCAACAGTACAACGATTGAAATTTCTTTTGAGAGCCAAATTTTTTAAACTTAAACTATATAGGTAGGCACATTGTTATTAACTTAATTAGGGTACTCCTAAGGCTTAGGAAGAGCCACACTCAAGGGGCCAAAGAGCCGCATGTGGCTCGCAAGCCGCAGTTTGCCAACCACGGTACTAGATGGTTAGCAAATACATGCTTGAAAAAAAAAATTATTTCCCTTCAAAGACGGGTGTTTAATTAAGTTAACACGTGTTTAACTCTGGGGGCTTGGAGAAATGCAGGACATTTCAGACATGGAGTTTATTTAAAATCACGTTAATGCATGAGGTAGAGATTTGCGATAGAATAAATGGAGTTTTAGAGCTGAATGGGTGTGAGAAAGCTCCTGAATCAGTGTCATTTTACATGTGAGAAAACCGAGGCTCACGGAGCAAAATTCCCTTCCCGGATCCATGTCAGCTGGCGGGAGGTCTGCAATGAAAATGTAGGTCTCCGTCTTCTTCGTCCAGGGCTTCTCCTTAGCACAGGCATGTGGCCTCCATAGTTTAGATTCCTAGATCCGAGGGCAAGGTGTGGACAGGGAGGGAGAGGGAGGGCCTACGCCTCAGTGTTCCAGATCTTGTTGTTAAAGAAATGAAGTGGTTACAAATTGGTTAAATAATTCCATAATTCTCTGTTTGATACTCATCCTTTTTTTTGGAATTAAACATGATATTTTAAAGGTTACTATTTTTTTAATCAGATGATCAATAAACATAGGCCAATATTATTTTCATATCCACTTTGGTTTCTTTCTTCTAATTCCAGAGAATCAGGTGAGGATTTACACTAGCAAAACACACACACACACACACACACACACACACACACACACACAAGTATGTAGAAGCTAAACTGTCTTTTAGCAGATAGGCCTAGGTTTAACCTAGACTCAAAAGTAGCCACCATTGCCCAGCCGGCGTAGCTCAGTGTTTGAGTGTCGACCTATGAACCATGAGGTCACAGTTCGACTCCCAGTGTGGGACTTGCAAGAGGCAGCCAATCAATGACTCTCTCATCACTGATGCTTCTCTTTTCCCCTCTCCCTTCCTCTCTGAAATCATTAAAAACATATTTTTAAAAAGTAGCCACCATCATACAAGCCATGAAGTAGAGTGGGGCCAAATAAAGGAATGTAATAATAGCCCATCATCTGGGAATGTGTTCAACTTTGTGTCAGATGCTGTGCTAGGTGCATTGGATATGTCATCTTTGTCAGTTATAGTAGCCCTGCAGATCAGGAAACTGAGGCTTAAAGGGGTTAAAGCCACAGTTACGTCACTGAGTCAGGATTAAACCCAGGCCCATCTTCTCTGAAGCGGAGGTGCTTTCATCCTGCAGCCCTGTGAATTCCGACTCCAGCGCCGGCTGGCAGAGTCCCAGTCACAGCTGTGACCAGTCACTGGGAAGCAAACAGTCCAAGATCAAATAACGATAATAAAGGAAGGATTTTCCCCCTTACCCATGAAGTACACATTTTTCACCTCATTTAACACAAACAAATACATTTGAGATTAGTTTCATAAATACTCAAACTCAGTCTTTAATGGATATAGGAGTTAACTCTTAGTTAATTGCAGGAACACTGTGGGTTTGACCTGGTGGGGGCATGGAGCAACAGTCTGCTCCCTTTTATACTCTGACCCAAAACAAAAGCATATATGGAAAGGGGGACAGTAAGTTAAATTTAAGTGTCCCCACAAGTAAAAGCTATACTCCTCTAAATTCTTTCACTCTCCCCAACACTAATAAGCGTTTTCAGTTTGATGTGGTACAACCGGCCTTGCGTGTCACCTGCAGATACAGAACCTTAATTCAGTTCCCGTAGGAACTGGTGTCTGCAGACTCTCAAGAGTCAACTGGGTTTTGCAATTGTTTTGTTTACATTGTTAAAATAAGAAATGATGTATTAATGAAGACTTTGTACAAACTTGAGAGAAATGAGACACTGCGTAGTGCAGAAGGGTAGATTTTACAACTAGATTGGCTTCATACAGGGAAAAAAATGTTTGCCGTATCATCATGAAATGTACTCACAATCACAGGTGAAATGGTACTACTTTTCACCACTATGAATGAAACAGGCCGGCAGGCCTTGAACAACTGCTGTTCCCACCTCACCCCACCCCATCCCGAGCCCCAGCCCCACTCCCTTGTACACAATGATTTGTGTCTGTCCATCCACCCTGGCTACCTGATACCTCTGGCCTAGCTCCAACCCCTGAGGTGGGTGAATATGGAGCAGAGTCAAACTCGCTGATGTGCAGGGGACATCAGCTCATGACTGGGGCCTGGCTGTCACAGTGTTATATAAATGACTAAATGCATGTAGGCACAGGCATGCGTGCACACACATACCTTCAGGCTCTGCTCACATTTATGCTTCCTAAGCCCTTATGTTCTGACGATAAAATTGGAAAACAGCATAGCTCATGAGTGAATCCAAAAATATCCTCTTGCAAAGAGAAATCTGCTTAACCAGTGAGAAGCATACCCAGGTTTTCCCTTCTAAACGCCTAGTGAGCTATACAGAAACATAACTGAAATGGGAAAGAGCCTGATTTGTACTCATTGAGGACCATAGTTGAAAACAGAAATTATTACTGCTGCATCCAATGGCCAGGCACTGGTAAATTAAATTTCTAGATACATGTAAGTTAATGCCTTGTCAGTGGAACTCAGAAATGCCAAAATGTATCTGCACGTTTCTACATTAGAGGAGTTGATTAATAAGTCTTCAAATCTACTGGATTTCAGGAATCTTTTAAATACTAATGCATCTCTCTAAACTGCAATTTACTTCTAGCAAGAGTTTTTTAAATCCACATTTTTTTAAAATATATTTTATTGATTTTCCACAGAGAGAAAGGGAGAGAGATAGAGAGCCAGAAACATCGATGAGAGAGAAACATCGATCAGCTGCCTCCTGCACACGCCCCACTGGGGATGCGCCCGCAACCCAGGTACATGCCCCTGGCCGGAATCGAACCTGGGACCCCCCAGTCCGCAGGCCGACGCTCTATCCACTGAGCCAAACCGGTTTCGGCTAAATCCACATTTTAAAGCAACTTAAAAACACACACCCTGTTATGGTTTGAAAATGACAAAGCCAGTGCAGGTTGACGTGGAACAAAACAAGCCCTGGGGCCCAATTCTTGAAGTTAAAGGGTTTCCTAGAACGGTACTACTTCCCGATGGCTTCTGTGCCATCTTCAAGCACATGCAGAGCTGCCAGCAGGCTGCTGGACA